TCTGTCTCTCCAGTTAGTAGGCAGCTCCTAGAGCAAAAATAAAATAAGGTGCTTTTCTCTCATGGGAGAAATGAATAAACGTACATACACAGAATCTGAATCTGATAACTTCTCGCCGTCTCCATCACTGCCATTGTATCAATTTTTTTTTTAATTTGACCAGAGAGGGACAGAGTGAGAGAGACAATGAGAGAGAGAGAGAGAGAAAGTGAGAAAGCAAGCCACCAGGACCATGTGGTCGGCCATGTGAGAGTCCAGCTCCCTTAACCACCCTGCCACCTGCCCACCCTGCCATTGTATCAGTTTCTAGCTGTAAAAACTTACTACAGGGACTGGCAGGTGGAAGGGTGGTAAAGGGCTCTTACAGCAGATTGTGGTTCGAGTCCCGGGCATGGCGGCTTGCTTTCTTACTTTCCCTCTCTCTCTCTCCCCCTCTCTGGCCAAATTAAAACAAATAAATGAAGTTGAATAACATAATTCTTTTTTAAAAAAAACTTACTACAAGCTGACTGGCTAAAAAATAACCCAAATTTATTACTTACAACTTTGTAACCCAGAAGTCTGGAATAGGAATTACAAGGCTAAAATCAAGGTAGTGGTAGGGCTGTGTTCTGGAGTTTCTATTTCCTTCTAGAGACCACCACACACTGTGCCACGTGCCCCTCTTCCTCCATCTTCACAGCCAGCCACACGGTCAAGTTCTGTTGGCAGCACATTACCCTAACTTCCTCGTCCACATTTAAGGACCCTTGTGATCATATTAGGTCCACCCCAAAATCAAGAATGCTATCCTTATTTTAAGCTCAGCTAATTAGGAAACTTAATTCCTTCTTTTTTAAAAAATTATGTTTATTTAACTTTATTTATTACTATGATTACTAGTTTTCAGTTTGATCAGATAGAGAGGGAAAGGGAAAGTGAGAGAGTAAGCCGCCAGGTCCAGGACTTGAACCGTGGTCGACCATGTGGGAATCCAGTGCCCTCAATCACCATGCCACCTGCTGGTCCCTAGGAAACTTAATTCCTTCTAATAACTGAATTTCCCTTTACCAAGTAACATAACACATTCACAAAGATTAGCACTTGGACATCTTTGGGGAAGGGCATTATTCTGCCTACCTTGGCCACTTTGGTATAAATTACACTTATCCCTCCTCTAGATTCTTCCAGTAGTCTCCAAACAGGTTTCTCTACTCCCACCCTTGCTTCTCTATGCCCACCCCACTGCAATTCTCCCAAAGAAACCACAGCGTTCCAGTTAGAATATGTGTGTTTATGTGACTCCTCAGCTGAAAACCTCTCGTGATTTCACACCTCACTCACACAGAGCCAAAGTCTTCAGCGAGGCCCAGTGGTGCCCTGCCACTTCAGCTCAATGTCCTCCATTTCCCCCTTTCACTCACTTGTGGCCACACCATCCTTCTTGCCGTTCACCATCAATCAGACGCTCACTCTCCCCACTCCAGGACCTTTCCACTTCCTGTTCTCTCTGCCTAAACTGTTCTTCTCCCAGGCATTCATAAGGCTTGTTCCCAAACATGCTCAGGTCTCATTCGAATGTCACTTTATTAGAGGGCTCTTCCCTAGTCAGACCACCCCATCTAAAATAGCATTCTCTCCCACTGTTACTTTTACCTCTTAGGGACTGAATGTCCTTTCAAATGTCATATGTTCAGGGCCAGCCTGTGGCTTGGTGGTTAAGGTAGCTAGATCCCACAACTAAGGTAGACTGTGCAGTTTGAGTACCGGACTTGGTGGCTTAAAAAACAAACCAAGTGTGTGTGCATGCATACCCAAAATCTGAGAGGACAGTAGAGGAGAAGGGATTGCAGTGTGGCAATCCCTCCAGTAGGTGCTTTCTCCATTTCTTGGAGAGGTTTTTTTGTTTTGTTTTGGTTTGGTTTGGTTTGGTTTTTGTTTTGTTTTGTTTTGTTTTGCTATAGGGCGCATGCGCTCGCCAGACAGGGAGAGAGAGAGAGACAGAGAGACAGGAAGCAAGAAATCACCCCCCAGGGAGGATGGCCACACCACCATCCCTTTTCCGTTCTCCTCTTGGGATCTTGGGCATGCACGCACACGTGCCCAGCGTGAGTTCTAAGCCACCGGGTCCGGGACGCGAACCGCGGTCAACTACATGGGAGTCCAACGACATAGCCATTACGCTAACTGCTGGTCCCTCTCAGTTTCTCTCTCTTTCTCTCTCTCTTTCCAGGCAAGTGGATCACCCCATAGCAAAAAAAAAAAAAAAAAAAAAAGTTTTTTATTTTTCAACACTTTAAAAAAAAAAAAAAAGTTTTTAATTTTGAAAAGTATATGGTGGAGCCCTAATTCACAATGTGATAGTATTTGCAGGAGGGGCCTTCAGGATGTACTTAGGTTTAGATGAGGTCATGAGGATGGAGCCCCCATGATGGGATTAGTGGCCCTATAAGAAAAGATCAGAACTCTCTTTCTCTGATTCATGTGAGGATGCAACAAGAAAGTGGCCAACTGCAAACCAGGAAGAGGAACTTAATCAGCCAGCACCTTGATCCAGTTGTCCAGCCTCCAGAACTGGGAGAAATAACTGTATTGTTTAAGCCATCAGTTTATTTTGTTATAGCAGCCTTAGCTAAGACATCATCCTTGCTCTTTCTCATTTTCTTCATAGAATTTATGTATTCATTAGTGTAGTATTCATCTTTCCTCAGGAGAAAGGAACATCTATGAGAGTAAGCTTTTTGTCTTTTGTTCTTTTGCTATTTTCTTAGTATCTACATTATAGAGATTATCAGTAACATTCAGTAAGTACCTGTTGGATAAATAAACTATTTTTTAAACTCTACTATTGCTAGTTAATGTGAAGTAGGCTATTTGTGCCACCCCCACCAGAAATGGAAGATACCTACGCAGTTGGAGTTGCCAATGGCTGACATGACAAGTAGAGGGCTATAATCTAAAAGGCAGTGAGAAATGTAACTTGTCTCTACATTCAAGAGTAAGACTTTTCAGTCATTGAAGCTAAATATATTTTGAGAATGCTGTTGTAATAAGTGAAAGGAAAAGATTTGACAAGCCCGTTGATTTTGGGGACAGGCTAAAAGGTTTCTTCTGTTTTTATTTTTTGTCTTTTCTGATCACGAACTGTGTAACTCTATATTATAGCTGATGATGAAAAACATTCTGAACCATGCTGCATTTTTAAGAGTCCATTTGTTAGACAAAATATGAGGAAATGTGGTTTATTTTATCACTTCTTTTTTCCTTTTTGGCTTCTAAATGGCTATTTAAATACAGATAACACTACACAACAAACTGGAGGAGCAGGTTTTGCACCCTACCTAGCTCACCTGCTGCCACCTGATACCTCCACTGGGAGGGCAGAGCCAGCTACGGAGCAGTGTCACACAGTGGGAAACGTGCCCAAGCTGGGCCCCCCAAATGCAAGAAGCAGTGCACATGTTGAGGACTGGGGAGGTCGGGACACATCGCCACTTGCCATATGCCACTCACATCATTTCAGAACAGAGTAGAAGGAACTCTAGACAAAAGGGAACAGAAGTCAAAGCGAAGACATTACATAACATGCAAGTTTTTCTTAGACGATCAGAACAAGAAATGCAAACTGAATGTGCACCCCAGTTTTATCTGTAGTATTCAGATAGTTTTACTTTCACCAAGATTTCTCCACATGTTTTTTTGGGGAAAAAAATGTGATGGGGCCAGCAAGTGGCATGGTGGTTAAGGCGCTGGACTCCCACATGGCCGATGACAGTTTGAGTCCTGGACCTGGAGGCTTGCTTTCCTACTTTCCTTTTCTCGCTCTCTGTCTCTCTCTCTCTGGTCAAATTAAACAAATAATAGTGATGATAATAAGTGAAATAATTCTTTTAAAAAAATGAACATTCATTTTCATGTAGTATATGACATTTTCTTAAAACAACATGTTTCTTATTATCAAAATTCATTTTTGGTTGGCTATTTTTCCTGCACAATAATTATATATGTATATATAATTAATATTAAACACTTTCCATAAATCTTACAAAGTTATATGAATGGATGCCAGCAGATGGTGTGGTGGTTAAGGCTCTGGATCCCATATGGCTGACTGCTGTTTCGGTCCAGACCCAGTGGCTTGAAAAGCATGCTGGTTGCATGTGCTATATATATATATGAATAATCATTGCAAACAAATGTGCTTAGCACCTCTATTGTTGAGAGCCCATTGTCTCTGTGAATCTGCATTTCCCTGAGGCAATTGTTTCAGTTACCTCTCTGGATTTTTTATTCTGGCAGCGAACATAAAAATATTCAGGAGAGCAGCAGATGGCGTAATGGTTACATCCCTGGGCTCCCACAGAGTCGACCTGTTCAAGTCCTGGGCCCAGCAGCTTAAAATTCAGGCCAGGCGTGTGTGGGTGTGTGTGTGTGTGTGTGTGTCCAAAATCCCAAGAGGAGAATGGAGGAGAAGGGATTGTAGCATAACCATTTCCCCTGGGGGGAGATTTCTCGCTTTCTGTCTCTCCGTCTCTCTCTGCCTGTCTGGCAAGTGTGCGCACCCTATAGCAAAAAAAAAAAAAAAAAAAAATTTTTAAAATGAAAAAAACATTTTTAAAAAAAACTCACACACACGTATATATTCAATAGTAGCAAAATTAAGTATCCTTGCAGTACTCAGGGAAGTTGAGTAATATATTGATACATTTACCCAGAAATCTGGCTTCTGGACCTGGAATTCCTAACTGAATAAAGAGAATGAAGATTTCAATAATGCTTCCTGTAGTAGAAAATTACTTAACCTAGAAGAGCCTCTTTTTTGTTCTTATAAAACTAGACTATTATATAGTTATGAACGTAGCTAAGTGGTTTCTAAATCTCTTCCTGCTTTAAAAGTACATAATTCAAAACTGCTAAAATCAAATACTTTTAAAGTTGACTGTGATCCACGTGAGTAAACACATACATATGCCCATATACATACACACATACACAGTTTCACTGTGAACATGGGAGGAGCTAGCTATACAATGTTTTGTAGTAGACCTTTACAGTGCATCTGAAAAAGGGTTTTGCTTCTGCAAAAGTGTCAGGGTGGCCTTCGACCTGCAGGGGGAGTTCCTCTGAGAAGACAGATTCGGGGAACAGTTTCAGCTACCTTCTCGCTCAGCCTCCAGGTGTTTCCGTTCAGAATCAGGGCAGTGTTTTGGGGACTTCCTTCCACTTTAACTGGGGACCCAGCGGAATTTGTAACCCCCGCTAGCTGTCCGGATAGTGAAGGCATTGCCCTGGGGGAAGGCGAGAGTGCGGATGGTGCCGTGGCTGCGAATTGGGGTGCTGAAGGAGCCGCCCTCCTCCAGTTCACTGTGGCTCAGATTCAGCGCGCTGCGGCTGCAGTCAGTGCGCAGCCCGCGGAAGGCGCCGTGCAGATTCCCGGGCCTGCAGTCTGGGCTCGCCGGCTCTGGCTGCAGTCTAGGCCTCTTGGGATCGCGATTCTGCAAGGCTTCATCGCAGCGCTTGGAAATCTCCCGCAGGATGGCGTCCACTTCCGCACAATCCTGCCCCGCAGAGCTGAACAGCTCCTCCAGGCTCCTTTTGGCAGTCGCTTTGAGCAGAACCGACTCGGCCTCCACCCCGCAATCCCGGGACTGCGTGATCATCAGCTTCTACCAAAGATGGGGAAGAGCGCCGCCCTGGGGCCAGCGGGACTCGCAGGTGCCGGGGGCACCGCACACCCAGCGGTGCTCTCCGCGCCCCGACTCCCACCGTGTCCCAAGCCAGCGAGCAGATGGGAGGTGCACTGGAAGCTCCAGCGTCCTGCAGAGTCCCACACACTCACGCCCCACTTACATCCAGTACGGAGGCCAGGTGTCGGGTCCTGCTGGCCAGTTCCTTCAGCTGCACGTTCCGCTCCTTGAGTGAGGCGATCTCCTCCTGTTTCTGGGTCAGCGTCACGTGCAGCTGCAGAAGGAGACCCAAACACTCAGAGAAGGCCACTCTGCAAGAATTAAACCCAAATCCCGAGCTTTCACCAGGAACTGAGGACCAAGGGCATTTGCACTGGTGAGGATAATAATTTGCCTGAGATACAGAAATCTTTTTTTTAACAAAGCACGTGGACAAAATGTATCCCAGTTCATCTTCAGCGCAGCGTGGATGTGAAGAGTACTGACCAGCAGCAGGCAGGTCTAGGCTCTCTCTCTGAAGTTCACCCATCCTATACTTCCGTTTCTTATCTGTAAAATGGGACTGGTAAGAGTCTCTAGCTCCGGTCTGGGGGTGGCATGGTGGTTGGGGCACTGAACTCCCACATAGCTGCCCACGGTTCGAGTCCTGGACCTGGTAGCTTGCTTTCTCACTCTCTCTCTCTCTCTCTGTCTCTCTCTCTCTGTGGTGAGCACGTGTGTCCTATGGCAAAAACCTTTTTAAAAAATTCTCCTGTGCTGTAGCTGTTTGGAGTCAAGGGGTTTCATGTGTTCTTGCTGTCTTTTTTCTTTAGAATCAGGTGGCCTTATGGGCTTTGGGGATCCTCCTAACCAGGGATCAGGTCAGCAGGGTACTGTGGAGCTCTCACAGTGAGCACATTTGTTGTTCTTGGTGGCAATGGGCAGCACTGGTTCCTCCTGCTCTATCCAGGAGAAACATGTGATAATGTGACATAAACATTAACTGCAGGGTAGGTGTGATCAAGTTGCTCTATGGGGAACATATTTTCTAGGAGATGTTCATCCTAGGATGAGAGCATTAATAGGCATTGATGCATACATAGCTCTTACTGTATGTCAGACAGTTCTCTGTGTTTTATGGGGCTTTCTTACCCTATCACAGCTTCTCACTCTCTCTCTCTCTCTGTCTCTCTCTCTCTCTGGTGAGCACGTGTGTCCTTTATCAACTTCTAAAAATAATAATAATAAATAAAACTAAATTTAAAAATGAATCTCTAGCTCAGTGATTGTGGGCATTAAGTGAGGGGAGAAAGTAAGTTAATATATTTATGGCCATGTAAAAAGCCTTTTTTTTCTTTTTTTGAGAGATTTTTGGTATAGAGTGCATGCACTGCGCTCACCAGAGACAGCCAGAAATCACCCCCCCACACACACACACACATCACACCCAATCCCCCCCCCTCCATTCTCCTATCTTGGGCAAGAGCACACACACATACCAGACATGAGTTTTAAGCCGCTGGGTCCAGGACTCAAACCATGGTCAACTCCAGGAAGTCCAGCAATGTAACCATCTGCTGGTCCCATGTAGAAAGCCTATTTAATTGCTTGCCCTGTTAAAAGTTGGTGGTGTAGGGGACCAGCAGATGGCATAAAATTTAGGTCGCTGGACTCCCACATAAGCGATGGTTCAAATCCCAGGCCCAAGGGTTTGATACTCAGGTGAGTGTCCAAGATGCCCACAGGAGAATGGAGAAGGGATTGCAGCATAGCCATCCCCCCTGGGGGGTGATTTCTCCTCTCTGACTCTGGTGAGTTGACTCGCCCTATAGAAAAATCTCTCTAAAAGAAAAATTGTTATGAACCATTAGCCAGTCTACTGATTCTGATGTCCTCAGGGATGAATGTTTCTTTAGCAAGACTCACTTCCACCCCACACACTATACCCTATCCCCACCCCGGGATAACCCAGCGTCCCTACTTGGTTATTCTCAACGAGGGCATCCCCCAGTGCCCTCTGGTTCTGGTCGGCCACCTCCTTCCAGTACTGCTCGGGCGGGGGCACATCTGGAGGCCGTAGTGGTGGTGACTGCAGGGCTCCTGGGTCCAGCGGTGGGGAGAGGCAGGACCCAAAGGGTCGCGATACATTGCAAGGAGAGAAGGGGAAGTCACTGCTGGCCAGGGGAGACGACATCAAAGAGGAGGAGTCTGGGGAAGACCAAGAACTGGATTTGTAGCCCCAGGCCCCAGACGAGGTGTTTTTGGCAAGTGACTGGGTTTACAATCTCCACGACCCCGGAAATCTGACCTAGACTGATTTTAGGGAAGGGGGCTGTCCTTGCTGTTAACCCCGAGAAGACTGCACTTGCCTGCAATGAGATCGTCTACAGTGTTTCTGAATTCCTGCAGATCGAAGTCCGCTTCTGTTTGCAGTGAAGGGTTCTAAAATAAACCAGAGTTGGAAACCAGTTAACTTCGAGCCTGGAGGGTCTGGAGCAATTCCTAGACCGACAGACAACTTTCCCAGCACGGCGGCGGCGGCGGGTCTGAGTGCGCTCGCGTTCACAGGTGAGGCGCATACCTAAAAATCCAAGCCTCGTTCAGAACACAGACCCATCAGGCTTGCACCGCCTAAGAGAGCCAGACGCACGAAGTTTGCAGCCGGCAGCTCCCGCAGTCCCCGCGCCGTCCCATGGACTGGCCACCACCAGCCAGCCAGCCAGCTGGCTGGTGCGCCTCCTGCGCGGGGTAGAAGCTCCAGTGCAACTTACCCCGGGCCTGCCAAGGAGCAGCCGCTCTAAAGCAGAGTGCGACCTGAACACCGGATCTTCCCTCTGAAGACCCGTCAGGGTGCAGAGTCCTCCAAAGCAGTAAGGAGGAGGCTGTGTTGTTAGCCGAAGCCCTGTTACAGCCAACCACCACCCTCCCAGGCCCAGCGCTGCCACAAGGAGGGGAGGGAAAGATAGGCTATGAGTTCAAGGGTCAAGGATGCTCTGGAAAAATGCTTCTGTTCCTGCACAGCAAGTGGGACACCTGTTGCCACCTTTAATTTCTCAGAATGCTTCTTCGTACAATCTGGTGCACCTCCACTTCTAGAATGGACACTTCCCAAGGCTCCAGCGGCACATCCTGGTGCACGAGGGGCAAGGAGACGGTAAAGGGCTGGGGAAGGGGTGCGAACCTTTGTATTCCCTTAATCCCTGGGCACTTAGAGTCGCAGTTCTTTTACACCTTCTCTCAGTTAATCCTCACACCCGGGTGTGAAGCTGGCAGCCCAGAAAGTGATTCCGGAGAAGGATCTGAAGCTCAGGGAAGTTGAGCCTCACAGTCTCCCAGCTCTGAAATAGTGATATCAGGGCTTCCGCCTCAGAATACTAGTGCTTATTCCAGTCCTCTCCTCCCTGCTTTGCTGCCTCCAGCTTTTCTCACTAGTTTGGAATGTCTGGCTTCTGCTGAACACAGCCCTGGCATGGGCAAAGAGTCTCAAGGGCCGGGATGTGCCGGGCTGCGTCGAACGTGTCCATGTCCGCCAGCAACAGGCATTCTACTGATTCCACTATTGAGTCAGTCCTGTGTGTAAATTATACTGTTCTCCCAAAACAAGAGAGTAGAGAACGTATTCTGACCGTAACATCAGGAAGGAAAGCGTCAAGCAGGGAGGCTGGCGATACCAACTGGACCCTGCAGCTAAAAGGAGAAAGGAGCTGAGAAAGGAAGGACTGAGGACGCCAGACAAATCCTAAAGCGTGAGTTCCACCCTGGCTGAAGGGGCCAGAAATGAGACTCATGCCCAAGGTAGTTCAGTAAGGATTCAAGAAAAGCTCTACCAAGAGGAGGCTGGAGGTCACCTCGGAAACTGGGGCACCAGAAATGCTTCCCCTATGCTGTCCTGGGTCTCCAACACCTTTAGAGCACTTCTGTCCACCTTCCCGGAGGAAAGAGGCTGGGAAATGTGACCTGAGCTGTGCTGGCCAGCAGCCTCCCCAGGGGGTCTTCCCAAGGGAGCCTCTCCGCCTCTGTATAGCTCTGTCCCTCCCAGGAACAATCCTGGGCCGTTTAGTCTATCTGGTGTGACCTTGAAACTTTGACCCCTGCTTTCCCAAGTATCAATAGATAAACCTGGCATTTTATCAACTATGGGGTTCTTGGGAGTCATGACGTATTTTTCTAGGCAAAAATGCGTCATGACTTTCCCAACAACTTAATATAATGACTACAAGGGGGAAATGACTACCACAGAACATCTCATCCAATTTAAATTCTGAGTCCAGCCAGGAGGTACAAGCAGGAGGGCACTCCTGCTGGATGACTGGGCTACTGTACAGAAGGCCCAGGTTTCGCTCCTGGTCTAGCCTAAACAGGCTGGGCACAGTGGCACTGTCCTATGGTCCTAGCTAACTGGGAGAGTGGGGCAGGAAGACAGACTCTGTAAAAACATAAAATAAAATAGGGACCAGCAGAGGGCATAGTGGTTATGTCAGGACTCCTACATAGTCAACCACGGTTAGAGTTTCAGACCTGGTAGCTTAAAACTCATGTAAGGGGCCAGCAAGTGGTGTGATGGTTAAGGGTGCTGGACTCCCACATGGTTCACCATGGTTCAAGTCTCGGACCTGGCAGCTTTCTCTCTCTATCTCTCTCCCTCTTTGGTGAAATAAAAATAAATAAATAAATAAATAAATAAAGTTTAATGGAGCAATTCCAAAGGAAAAAAAAAAAAAACTACTCACGCTGGGCAGGCACCATGTGTGTGCATGTGCATGCCCAAGATCACAAGAGGAGAATGGAGGAGAAGGGACCCCAAAGTGATGGTCATCCCCACAGGGGGGTGATTTTTTTATTTCTGTCTCTCTCTGTCTACCATCCCCTGGGGAGTGATTTCATTCTCTCTCTTTCTCTCTCTCTCTCTCTCTTCACTCTATAGGGCACACATGTCCTATAGCAAAAAATGTCTCCTTAAAAATAAAATAAAAACCCTCTCTTTGAATGAAAGAAAGAAAGAAAGAAAGAAAGAAAGAAAGAAAGAAAGAAAGAAAGAAAGAAAGAAAGAAATGTAGGGTTGGCTGGTAGCCTAGTGGTTAAAGGAACTGGATCCCACGTGGCCCACCATAGTTTGAATCATGGTCCAGCAGCAGCTTGGAAAATGTCCAAATCCCAAGGATGGAGAAATGGAGAAGAAATTGTGGCATAACCACACCTCATTGCGTTATTATTTCTCTCTCTCTCTTGCTCTTTCTCTCTCTCTTTCTGGACAATTGTATGCCCTCTGACAAAAGGAAGAAAAGATGAGCGAAAGAAGGAAAGGAAGGAAGGTAGGAAGAAAAGAGAGGAAAAGGGAGAGGGAGGGAGGAAGAAAGAAAAGAGAGAGATCTAGAAAGAAAGGGAAGGAAGGAAGAAATCTGCATATTTAAGCAAACATTCAACAAAAGTCTTCTTGGCTTCTGTCACTTGCAAAATACACATGTTGGGGTAAAGGAGTGACCTAGGTCTCTGGTCAGGTGACAGATGCTCACGCACTGCCTTTCCTCACTTGAGCATCCAGCTCTAAGAATAATTAAATGTCCTCCACAGGGCAATGTCCACTCCTGCCACTGCATTAACAATCTCTACTCTGGGAGAACTGAGAAGCTTTGCTTCATCTTTGCTTCTAGTTCTGGGAGGTGGCTATGTCTTCTGGAGAGTTCTGTACTGGGTATGTGCCCAGCACCCCGTGGTCCCAGCACATGCAGCACCCTGCCTGTGGGTTGCATCTGGCTAAGACCTCCTGTCCTTCTGAGTACTTCCTGACCCACTGGGGAGACTCCTGGCCAGCGTTCATTCAGGTCACATTTTCCACCCTCTTCCCACCAATAAGTCAAGCTTCTGGCTTCCCCCACAACAGCACTGAGAACCACCACACTTTGCCTTGCCTTGGAGTGTCAGCCCTGGAAGTGTTGGAAATGGGATGGAAGTAAGAAGACAGGCTTTGGGGGGAAAGAAATACACACACACACACACACACACACACACACATCTTTGCCTCCCCCCACCCGATGACAAGTGACCAGGGCTTTAAGAGGAGAAGAAGATTTTTAAAAAGTGCCACTACATGGGGCTGGCAGGTAGTGTAGTGGTTAGGGCACTGGATTCCCACACATGGTCAACTATGGTTCTAGGCCTGGTGGCTTGCTTTCTCACTTTCCCTTTATTTCTTTGGTCAAATTTTAAAATAAAAATAACAAATAAAATTAAATAAGTAAATCTTTTTAAAAAAATAATAAGGGCCACTGCAGAGGAACATTTTCTGTCAAATTTCTTCCAGATTCCTCTGTTCTTCCCACTTCCCACAAATGCAAACTCTCTTCCTCTTTTCCACTCTTGTCGATAAGTTACCCATCTCTTCCATTCTTAGATACGCAGGGAATGAAACCGGTTAGAATGGCCTGGAAACAGGCGGGACATTTGGCCGGTGTCCAGGGCAGAGCTTTGCTCCCACTCCTGGCCTGGTCTCTCAGGGCTCAATTTTCCTGCTGCCTTGCAATAGCTCCTGGGAACAGATAGCGTGGGAGAACCAACCCTCCAGGTGAGCGCAAAACAGCTCCGGATACGCAGCCTTTGTAACGTACTGAGAGGGTGAGGAGGGAGGAGGAAGTTCAAATCCGAAAGGCTCAAGTTCACGTACGAGGCCTCCCTCTGCCAGCTGCAAATGCCAGCGCTGCAGAACCTTTATGGAAATAAACCCACCACCCACCCGCGAGTTGGAGTCTGGGCTGTGCGAAGCCGCGAGGCTGCAGAAGGGGAAGTACCTGCGAGGCAGCCGGGTCACCACAGGGCGGCGTGTCGGACCCAAGCAGCGAGGAGCAGTCGGCGAGGTCCTGCAGGTCTATGGTGGTGAGCGCTGCACCGGGAGACCGGGAGATACGCGCCGGGCGCGTCCTGAGCCTCTGGGCAGGCTTTTGCTGGGACCCTCGCCAGTTCGTCGGAGCCGGGGACAGGGAGGGAGAACCAACTCCGAGCAGCGCGCGCCACACCCACCCGGCGCGGGGAACCCCAAGGGTCGTGCGGGTGCCACGGGGCTCACCTGGCAACGCTGAGCGCTCGGGGTCCGGGGGTTCCTCGTACACCGACACCTGGCTGCCACCGCTGCATGCAGGAAATAACTTCCGCGGAGAGGCCAACTAGCCGGGCAGAGAAACGGTGACCGCGAGTCAGTCCTCCGGGCACAGAGTGCGCAGACCCCGCCAGCCGGGTCAGCGGTCCCACCTTCCTCTCCAGCTTTCCGGGCTTGCCGAGGTGCCGACCTGGCAGCTCCAGCATCGTGTTAGGGCAGATGCTGTCGAAAGCCCGGCGCCCCGCCGCGCCAGTCCCGCACGCCTGCATCCTGCCTGCTGCGGCCGACTGCTCGGAGGCGGCGGCTCAGGCTAGGATGGAGACCCACACCCTGTGCTCTGCCGCCGCCCGCAGGCTCAGAAGCTGGCGGGCGCGTGGCTAAGGAGGAGAGGAGGGCGCGGAGGGAAGCCCAGGAGGGGACGCAGCAGCCGCGCGGGAGGGGCGTCTCGCGCCGGAGCGCCAGAGGTGGCGCCTTCAGCCCCGGACAATGTGCGCGCGGGCGGAGGCGTTAAACCCAAGCTGGCAAGGCGGCTTCCCCCGGGAGCAGCAGCGCGGGGCCCAGGCCCGCCAGCGCCCTTTCTGCAGGCGTTGGCGCCGCAGCCTCCTGGCCGCGCCAGGAAGGGAAGGAAGAAGGAGGGGCAGAGGAGCCTTACCCGTCGGTACCACTGGCTACCGCCCTCCCGTTCATGGACAGCGGGAATGAAAGAGTTAACGATTATTATAGTTCCTTTTCTTCCCACCCCAGCCACGAAGCAGGGAATAAAGGCAGAGTGACATTGGCCAAAGCCAGAGTGCGGCATTTGCTGTGCCCCGCGGGGTCAAGGAAAGATGTAACTGTCGGCAGCGACTCCCCGGAATATAGAAGCCCCTTCCCTCAAACCTGGGCAGCTTTTAGGGTCTGACTCACAGACTTCCACTTAGTTTCTCAGCCTGACGCCAAGAGTCTCGCCCCACATCCCCAGCCCTACACCTTCACCAGCAGAGGCACTTGAGCAAGTCCTTTTTATAAAGCTCAATTTGTTAAAAGTGACATCTACAAACCTTCCTTCAGTTTCTGTAAATGTCAAGGGGGTGTTTCAGGTCCCCCCCCCGGAGATGGTCCCTTTTTCTTCTTGGGCTCTGGCAGCCTGGTGGCTCTGGACTCAAACCGTGGCTGACCACGAGGGAGTCCAGTGCCTTAGCCTCTACACCACCTCTGGTCCCACTGGGCCACGATCTTAGCTGCCCTTTCCAGGTCCGAGTGCTCTGCCAGGAAGGGCCACCCCTGGGCAAGGAAGGGGCTTCTCTCAGGATCACCACATATACCCAGTTTGAACAGTCATGTGAACATTGGAAGCGCTGGGTCCCCTTCTTCTGAGCACCTCGTTTTTGTCTTATACCTAGTGGTAGTGGAGAAAGAACTTCTTTTAAAGCGCCATCATTCTCTTCCCCTTGATAGTTGTTTGGATCAAGAAACAAGGCATCCCTGACAGGGGTGGAGAGTAGCCCAATAAATATAGGCAGGGAGTTGGGGTGAGGTCAGCCAGCTGGAGTTTGTGGGGTATCTGTCACCTACAGTGAGCTCTGGCTGGAGGATCAGAGAGCCACTGAATCAGACCAGACTCCACCCATGACCAGATCTGTGAGCCCCAGGACTTTAGGACAAACAGCAACACTGACCGCCTTGAAATGCTGCTTCAAAGATGAGTGAGATTATTTATGTGAAGTGACTGGTGCTTAGTGTGGATAATTTTATTTTTTCCTAAAAGAAGGAAGATGATCATCCTCCACAGGGTCTTGTCATGCTGGGATCCCCTTCCCACCATCATCCTCCCTTCCTCCAGCCCATCGGTGCTTGGCACTTTTGTCTGTCTTCCCCAGGGTGGATTCAGCTTCTCTTGAGAGAGAGATTGATTGGTTCTTGATAGGGTTCCACCCGTCTAGATCCTTTGAGTCCCAGCCTCCCAGTCAAGTAGGACTACAGGCACCCTTATTTAGGTTGGGTGGAAACACACACACACATCCTAAGTCATCAGGAAGCAGCACCCTCTTGCCTGTGTCACCCAGACTGGGTCTGTTTTATTTTTTAAGTATGTAATTTTACTTATTATTTTTAAAGTTTGCTACAGGGTCCACACAGTCAACAGAGAAAGACAGAGAGACAGAGAATGTGAGAAAGCAAGTTACTAGGACCAGGACTTGAACCTTGCTTTGTTTTGTGGGAGTCCAGCATGTAAACCACCACGCCACCTGCCAGCTCCTTATTTTTTTTTTCTTAGAGGTTTTTGTTATAGGGTGCATGCACTCACCAGACAGACAGAGACAGAGAGACAGAAAGCGAGAAATCACCCCCCAGGGTGGATGGCCATGCCACAATCCCTTCTCCTCCATTCTCCTCTCGGGATCTTGGGCATGCACACACAGGCGCCCGGTGTGAGTTTTAAGCCACTGGGTCCAGGATGCAAACCGTGGCCGACTACATGGAGTCCAGCGACATAGCCATTACACTAACTACTGGTCCCCCTTATTTTGTTTTTAAAACAGGAATTTCGGTTACAGGTCCAGGCTGTCCCTGGTTCTGTCTCCTGGTTCCTCTGGTTTATGAGTAGCACTGTCAGTAGCCACCTCATTTCCACCCCTATTCTTACCCACTTTTCAACCTGTGAAGTGAGTAGGGGGGGGGGACCTTGTCTGAGTTTTGGAAAGATCTCTACACATGGAGACCATCACAGATTTTCCAGGACAGTTTCATTTACCAAATGTTCGTCAATGAGTTCCAAAAAATAAAATAAAAAAAAAACACATTGTGGCAACAAGGAATGAAATAGCTGGATTATATAACTCGTAGTCTGGATGACTCTGGGACCAACCACCCATATTAATCTTGCTGACTGATGGAGTAGACAGACACTGGTGAAGATGACTCCTCCCAAAGTCACTCTTTATTATTTTTAAGAATTATTTTATTTAACTTTATTTATTTATGTATTATTTTAATTTGACAACAGAGATAGAGTAAGAAAGCAAACCACCAGGTCCAGGACTCAAACCTCAGTCGGCCATGTGGGAGTCCAGCGTCGTTAACCACCATGCCACCTGCCAGTCCCATCCAAAGTATTTTGCAGAAAGGCCAGATCCTCACAGCCATGCTGAGGTCCAAGGTGGTTTGGGTCTTGAGACAAGTGATATAATCTTCCCCCTTCACCTTTTTCACCATCACCACAGCCCTCTCCTTGACCAAAGGAGGAGAAAGTTCAGCATTCCAGGAGAGAAGGGCTAAGGGGCCCAGAGTAAGGCACCTCTGGCTCCAGAGAGCACTTGGAAGATGCATGTGGAAAGAAAGTGAAGGAAGGTTCTCTAAACTTGCTTTGAGGTTTTTATTTGTATTTGTCATACATTTAGAGTTTATTATAAATGCAGTGAAACATGACTGGGATTTAAAAGGTTTTTTTCTTAATTATTTAATTTATGTATTTAAATTTGACCAGAGAGGGACAGAGCGAGAGAGAAAAAGAAAGAGAGCGAGAAAGTGAGAAAGCAACCCTCCAGGTCTAGGACTTGAATGACAGTCAACCATGTGGGAGTCCAATGCCCTTAACCACCATGCCAACTGCCAGCCCTGTGACTGGGACTTTTTTTTACCACCAAAACTTTACTATAGTATGTGTTCAACCCCCAAAATTTGAAAAAGCAGTACAACGAATGACCGTATGTTCATTTCTGATGAACACTTCGCCATAATTGCTTTATCTTTATTTCTTCACTCCAAGTGTTTCTAAACACCACCTCCTCCCTCATCACTGTGTAGGTATCACCTAGAATTTCTCTCTCTTTTTAAAAACATACATTTATCGGGGCCGGCAGGTGGCATGGTGGTTAAGGGCACTGGACTCCCACATGACCAACCATGGTTCAAGTCCTGGACCTGGTGGCTTCCTTTCTCACTTTCCCACTCTCTCTCTCTATCCCTCTCTGATGAAATTGGAAAATAATAATGTTTAAATAATTCTTTTTAAACACATACATTTATCTATTTATTTGTTGTGATTTTTAAGCTGCTGGGTTCAGAACTTAAACCATGGTCAGCTATGTGGGAATCCAGTGTCTTAACCACCATTCTACCCACTGACCTGCCCTCATCTCCAGAGGGCTTGCTGTGTGCCAGGACCGGTGCTAGAGGATTTGTATGGAGCACCTCATTAGAGCCATACCTCAACTCTATCAAACAGGTGCTATGGTTATTCCCATTCTTACAGTTGAAAGTAAGCCTAGAAATGAGACTTGCTAAAGGTCACTCATCCAATGGGCTCTAGAGCCCACTTCCTTAAACCCTAATTTATACTACCTCACAATACTTACACGTAATCTCATTTGCGCTGTAAGACAACCCTGCTACCAATTGTAGAGCTCAGAAAGGTTAATACCTATGCAGAGATAATGGCTGAGATTCAGGACCCACAGCAGATTCATGACAGTGAGAATGAAGATAAAGTGACAGCTATAGAGTCCAAGAGCCCCAGCCTGGGGTAAGGATTGTGCTCGCTCCCCAAAATATGTTTCCTATACAGACACTCTTCACTTAATGACCAGGTTATGTTCCTACAACGAAGTTAAGCAAATGACCACAGCGGTGAGGAGTTTAAAGGCAGATGTCTTGAGTATAGTAGCACCATAGGGTATGTATTTTTCTATTCTTAACTTTACTATTATTTTCCAGTTTGATCAGAAAGAGAGAGAGCGAGAAGTGAGAAAGCAAGCCACCAGGTCCCAGACTTAACCACAGTCAGTCCAGCACCTTTAACCACCATGCCACCTGCTGGCCCCAAGGTATGTATTTTTCAATAGATATCGCACACCACCACACGTGAATAATGTAATTCTATCCATACAAAAAGCATACACTAGATAAGTGCCAGAAAGTGATGAGACATCACAACATAATACTATAAACCAGGGCATTGTTTTGATTTATTTTCAATACTGCTATGGGTGCACAACAAAGACAGCTTTATAAAGGAAATACACAGTCTTGCATGATCTGATCGTGAACTCTTTGCATTATGAATACAGGAAGGAGACAAAGACTGACAAAGGGGATTCCTAAGACTCCCACTGGCTGAGCAAGGGATTCCTCCCAGCTGGAGGACTGGTCACCAGGTGGGTTGTTAAATGAGGAGTGACTGTAGTATCTGTCCAATGGAGAGCAGAATAAATAACTGGTCCTGCACCCAACTCAGGAAGAGGGTCTCAGAGTTTCCAGAAACCTCTACGTGGGGGAAGTTTAGCAGTGTGGCTAAGACTGGGACTCTGGACTCACTGTATATTAGTCTAGTCAGATATTCCAAACACATTCTCATTAAGATAATTTTCCATTTTTGTGTCCCTTAAAATTTTTTTTTTTTCCCCTTCACCATCCTGGCTATTCCGCAGTTGATTAACCTCTCTACATCCCAGTGTCCTCCTCCAAAAAACTGGATAATAGACTGCTTCATGGAATTGTTGGAAGACTGAAGTAAGGAATGTTGAACACAGTACCTGGTACACTGTGAGCACTGGTAACGCCATTCTTACTATGCTGTCTTTGTTAAGGTGGGCTCACCCGAAGCAGTGCGAACAGCTGAACCATGTGATCGCAGGGTGAATGGCCTGGATTTGTAACAACCACATGCACCTGCAAAGCCTTAATTTTCCACATGCATCCGTTGTCTGCGGGGTTCTCCATATGGTGTACTGCTTGCTTGCCTTCTGCCAGCACACCTGCGCAGTCCTCGGAGCTTCCCAGCCCTATTTTGCCTGCGCCCACAAGCGCAATTCTGGCCCCTCTGGACTGCATAGACTGCTGTGGGTTTTATTCTGCTTCACACACTATCTGGCTCTTTGGACTCTCACTCTTTAAGTGCGCAGTCCTCAGCCTCCTGCCATGAGGATCCTGGGACCCAAGCTTACAAGGGACTCATCTTATCACTGGAATCACAGTAGCGTGAACCAAGTCCAACCAGGTGTTCCCCAGACAGACGTCAACTGGAGTGAGGAACGGATCCCTTAAACGTCAATATGACCCCTATTCCAGGGCTGACTTCACCTTTCCTTCCCACTGACAGGCACAGGCCAATCACAACAGACACCCTTGTTTACTGGGTGAAAACAACTCTAGTGTACTCTCACAGCAAAATAAACTGGCAGCTGCTACTTGCGAACACTATTTACACATCGCCAGTGACAGAGCAGGAACCCTGAGTCTTTCTCTGTGGACCAAACTACTGCCCTCTACTGAAGCAATGGAGGCGGTCCAGCCCCTGAGCCAGAGAATAAAAGGAAACCAAAGGTCTGGTTTATTTCAAGCTCGGGAACAAGCTGCACTTCTTGCAGATCTGGAGCGGCAGCATGTGAGCCAGGGAAGTACTGTTTATGGACACCAGCAGCTGCAGTTTGCCCAGGCAGTCTTGCAGCACAGCTTCGGGGTGCCCACCCAGGCGTAGGTCCACTGGGCTCGGAAGCCTCAACATGCGGTCAGCCAGCGCCAGGCAGCAGATGGCCAGCAGGGAAGGGGAGTAGCTGGTGAAGGCATAGTCCGCCAAGCTCAACTCGGCCACCCCTTGGGCCAGGGCTTGAGCTTCCAGGGCTTGCGAGACCTCGGCTTGCCCAGCCTCCACGCGAGCATGCGTGAAGTGCTCCAGGAAGAAGCTGATGGTGGGCGCGCCCAGGCTGAAGCGCAGCTTGTGCAGTACGATGCACTCGAGGTTGCAGAGCTGCTGCCGGGAGAAGGCGCCGCAGCACAGGGCCAGGAGCTGCTTCACGCGGGGCGGATGCACCTCCACCTGCAACACAGGCTCACTCAGACCCCGCCTCCGGGTTTGCAGGGCCCAAGACCCACCCAACCTGAAACCCCGCAGAGCACCGAGATTCCTCACATCCCTTCCAGAGAGAAAGCCAGGACTTCACCTCGCCACTACCCCCACTAAAATCTCCTGGATGTATTTAGTTCCAGAGCGACTTCTGTAACTATTAAAAAAAGTGTTTGGGAAAATTTCAATTACCCCCCTCTACCCTAGACTAGAATAGAGGCACCACTAGGAACTGTTTGGGACTACCTAGTGTGTGTGCGTGTGTGTGTGTGTGTGTGTGCGTGGGGGGCGCGGGAGGAGGGTTCTGAGTGAAAGCACTGCTAGTTTGGAGGGGGGATTTAAAATTATGGCTGTGGCATATATAAACTTGCTCACTTGTCTGCCAAAACGAGTTCAAGGAATCCAGCGCTGAGTCGTGCGCGCTAGCGAGCCAGAGGGCCACAGTCTGGTAGTGAACCTGGCTGTCTGCCCGGCGCACTAGACACCGCGCGGACGTACCTGCTTGCAAGCGATGAGCAGGGAGGTGACCCCGAGCAGCTGGAAGCAGTCCGCAGCCACTGGGGTGGTGATGAGGAAGCGGTCCAGAGTGTTCACCGTGAGGCACAGGGACTCGAAAGAGAGGCCGAACTGGCGGTGCACAGGGATCAGCCAGCTAAGCAGTTTACAGCGGGATTCCGGCGTCACCTGCCGGGAGGGAGGAGGGAGGCGGGCCGGCTGAGCCTAGGGCGGAGAAGGGTGGCGAGAGAAAAGAGCCAAGAAGACCTAGAGAGCTTCCCCAGAGGCCGGCAGGAAGAAGAGGAAAAGGCTAAATGCGCTGGAAACTGGGAAACGGGCAGTGCTGCTGAAGAAAGGGCCCAGGCCAAGTGGCAGCTCCGTGGAACGCCAGGATTCGTGCTTGGCGCGCTGTGCCAAACGCCAAACACGTTACCTGGGGTAATCCTCTCGGTAATTCAGTGCAAGGGACTGGGACATCCATTTTCATTTGCCCAAGGTCGGTAATATTCAGGACTCGAACCTAGAAAATAACGTCTTTGCACTCTACTGTGCCCCATTAACTAGCCTGGAGACGAGGTCAGTCACTAGAGACATTCCCACACCCCCACTTTTCTCCACTTGTAAAAGGAGGCTGGTGACCTGGCCCTCCAAAGCCCCTTCTCCTCCAGCGGGAGGCGGGAACTGGACAGGTGCCGGCGGGGACCCAGCGGAGGGCAATAAGAAAGGAGAGAGCCTGGGAGAAGAAGAGCGGCGGCGGGGAGCTGGCTC